CCCCCCCCCTCAAAATTCAATTCTCCGCTGGAGAACGTCTTCGTGAGCCTCTCATGATTTCAGGATAGTTGAAACCCTCTTGCCCTCTTGAACATTCAGAAAGAGTGCATATGAAATTCGAATTACGAAATGTGTTCTCGTTAAAATACCATTCTCTCCTGGAGACCGTCTTCGTAAGCGTCTCTGTGTTCCCCGAAAGGATCGCAAGGTGTTACATACCTAGAGTTTATTTTCTTCTCTCCTGGGGCCTCTTAATTCAATTCTCTCCTGGAGCACGTCTTCGTGAGCCTCTCATGATTTCAGGATAGTTGCAACCCTCTTGAACATTCAGACAGAGTGCATATGAAATTCTAATCACGACAGGTGTTCCCCGAGGGGATACATACCTAGAGTTTGTTTTGTGAACCACGTCTATTCTCTTTTGGGGAACGTCTTCGTGAGTCTCTTCTGGTTTCAGAATAGTTTAAACCCTATGATGCTCCGATTCTATGCTCACCGATGATCTGAGCCATGGGGCGAGGTTGTTTCCCTAAGAACCTTTCTGAACATTTCGAGAGCATATGAGCAACGGCTTCTATTTGCGGTAGTGGTGATTGGTCTAGGGGCGTTCCTTTTCTATAGCCCAATGTCAGAGTTAGTTGGCGAAACGAGGTAGGAACACCCCGAAAACGAGATGGGCATCAAATGCGCCATTTGTTTGCAATGGTTTGGTTACTGACATGTTTAGCTTGTGAAACGAGGTAGGAAGACCTCTCGAGAACGAGATGGGTTTCCACACACCAAAACGAAATACAGGCATGGAGACCGAGATCACACACCAAAAACGATGCGGGCTTGGAGACCGCTGCTGTGGCTCGAAGTATGCCACTCGCGTTCTCTTCTCTTCCCGCTGTCCTACCTTTCGTGTCTCCCTCCTCTCAAGTATGTGTCGTCATTCGCTTTGCGAAGAGATATTACATGGCATCTTGCTGAAGTCGCTTGATGAATTTTGAAGATGGGTGGTTTAAAGTTGTTCCAGGTCATCTACGATTATCTACGGCATGAGAGTCCAAAGAAGAATAGATGTGTCCAAGACCAATCCCTCGCTGTACGTAGTACGCAAATTACCACAAATTACTTTTCGTGGCTAGTGCTCAAAGACAGGGGTCACTTAGGTCCTGGGTGTTGGTGGGAGTGACCTCTCTGTGACCAGCGAGCACTTGCTTTTGCTGACCGTTTACGGCATAATCATAAGATCCACAGTCAGGGGCTGTTCGGTCTAAGAATCACGCCATTTGCGACCATTTGAGAGTTTAAGTTTAAGAACTGTCTTCAGGTTGGACCTTGAAGGAAGTGGAGTGTTCGTCATCGAATTCGTCACACAAGCCCGTCGCAAGCCAGGAGATTCGGCAGACACGCTGGAACAAGACGCTATCAGACACACTGGAGCAATGCCACCATATGAGTGCTACAACGTAGCGTTCAGACATATCCCAACGGAGCAGTGGAAATGTTTTTCTCACGTGGCACGCCACCAGCGAAGTTACACCAACTCTGACCGGCATTGATCGTTGGATCTCTCCAAGCGCGCCGCGGCGGCCGGGAGGAATGACCATCCTCATTCGTTCCAGTGGTGTGTCCATTGGCTATGCCGACTGGGTGTGTTGGGAAGTGTAATTGGTTCGTTAGATCAGATCCCTCGGCACATTGCTTGGATGCGCAAAGTATCTGGATATCCTGGAAGCGGTCACGCAGGCGCGTCGGCCGGTTATGGTCACATGTGCGATCATGGTGCGCTTGGCCATCCAGGTGGCGCCGCAGAGGACATCAAACTGTCCCAAGCAGGATCGATGACTCAAGCAATTGGCGCATAGCTAAATCCAATCTAATCAGAACCTGTGCAACTCTACTCGTATCAAAATGGACGTGCTTCACAACCAGTGTTTGATGGCGACCCCAAAACGGCACGGCAGTCGGCGACGGTGTCCGAGGCACCGAGCCCTACTGTGGTGGCTTTTGGTGGTCCCAGTCAGCTCCCCGTGTGAAGCTGGTGGATGGAGACTTGGGAAAGAAGGCAGCGCCCAAAGAGGCCGCACCCGGCGGAAGATGGTGAGGAAGATGGAGATTGGGGGATTGTTTTTTGGTCGTGAAGGTCGTCAGAAGTCCAAGCAGTGCACTGTGGTGTTCTGATGTGTTCTGGCTCCAGATGATTTTGCCGGTGTTTGTTCCGGTGGCGTTTGGGCCAAAAACTGAAGAGCCCACCTTTGATTGAGGTTCTCTCAAGTAATTGATTGGTTCCCTTCTCCAATCAATCTAATGGCCACAAAAACCGTCTGAATGATCCTGAATCATTTGAAGAGAAACGCTTTTCGCAGGCGACCTGGCCGCGAAAAGGGCCATCCGTCGATACATCTACAGCCTGGCCCCGCCAGGCTGCGCCGGTGGACTTTCCGGAGGCCTGCACTGAAGGGTGCCGGTCGGGGGGGAGGGTCATGGGGCATAAGGGTCCCGAAGAAAGGAGTCCAAAAGGACTAAAACGGGCCAAGGATTGATTGGTTTGGTTGGTGTCACTTTGGTTCCACAACCAACTAGAATTGGTTTCCATGTTTCGTCGAAGCTCAAACGTCGCGATCAAACCCCAATTGACCCATTGTCGCGCGACCGGGCCTTGTTGGCAGGTCTCCTTCTTCCCGGCCTTTGACCCTCCGTTGGCCTCCTTCGTGAAGCTTCGCCCTGCCAATCAGGGCACCTTTGACCGTTGGAACATTCCCAACGTGCCCTGGCGTTATATGTAAGAGCGGGCAGTGGGTGGTATTGATGTGTGGTCAGCTGTACGGTGTTTGCTTGTTTTGCTGCTTATAATCAGACATGGGTGAAGGCCCCTTTGTAAGCATTTGGGCAACCTACACAGAGAGGTGGAATATGTGGGCCATCCTTATGCCGAGAATACCTTCTTTCAGGTTTCACCACAGTACGTGATTGTCGGTTTAGTGGTTTCAAGTCTCAACGTACCGCTGTCAAGCGCACCAGTGTTTGGCCGGTCTCCGGCCTTGTGAACCCCGCAGTAAAACATCGATATCCATCGTGTCCTCCAGGGCATCCAAGTAGTGTTTACATGCAGGCATGGGTTTTGGACACCGGAATCTAGTTTAAGAACGTGTTAAGAGAGGAGCATTCCGACTGGAGTCACCCGACCCTGTCCTCCGGGAGAAAGCACGGCCAAACCTCGGACCGCGAGGAGTTTTCTCAATCTGGTCAAACCGCGGCGCAGGTGTTTTGCTCTCGGCAACTTCTTTGGGCCAGCGAACCCGGAGTGTTTTCCTTGTTTCAGATCCTCATTGGAATGGATGGAGCAAATCTGGTTTGGGTCAGCCCCGGCCCCCGGTTGGTTCAGAATGGAATGAAGAAGGGGGCCGACCAAGCCCAAGAGATCCCTCTAGACTAGCCAGAGATTTTGTCCGTCACTCGTACAAAACCAAACAAGGACCACGTTGGTACTCCAGGTGTGTCTCGAACTTACGCTACACCATGCTATACCCAACTATTGAATTTTCCTGAATGCCCTCCACCCTTTCTGTAAGACCATATTGTTTAGACATTCCAATTTACATGTGGACAGATGTGGAAACCAAAAAGGTGCTTCAGACTCCAGACGCCTTCCAACATGTTCTTCGACTCCTTCCGACCGGACCACCGGCGCATAGCGCATTCCAACCCAACCTGTCCGACCCAGAGGCGGTCACCGTGAAGGTGGGCACGCGCTCGGAGATGAAGTTCCTCACCAACGAGGCGAGAGTCCGGACCACCGCGGGCCGGGACACCGTCGTGCCCGTCGCGCGACTCGTCCAAGCGTGGAACTTCCGAAGGCGAGACTGTGGCTTTCTTCCGAAGGTGAGTGTTGGAGTTTCCCGGTGGAGCGAAGTGTCCTGTGGACCCTTTTTGCGTTTGCAAGCCTCTCTTTTGTTGAAGCTCGCGCTGAAACCAAAGAACTGCAACTCTGACTCTTGATGATATGTTAACAACCAAGAAGGTTTGAAGAGGTCCCGCCGTTGAATCCCGTAACTCTTGATCGTGACCAAGCTCCGCAGCTCGGGAATCAGTGGGGTTTACAATGGGTTCACTAACCATGGCAGGCCGTGAGAAATTCTTTTGTTGAATTGTCCAATTGCTTAAATGTTCAATCTAAAAGGCGAGTATAGATGTAGAGCACCCTTGCCAAGAGCAATGTTTATATACTCTGATTCTCCCCTTGTAGCTAGCGGAATTCTCCTTTTGTTTACCACCTTCACCGTCGCCGCCAAAACACTCGCGCACGGCAGGTCTTGAACAACTTCATGCGTGTGCAGGAGCCGGTCACCGCGGCTGACGACGAATCGATGGGTCGATGCCCGTCACCGCGACCGCGGCAGGGTCCGTCACCGGACGGTCACAGCGGGCGGGCCGAGTGCCATGTTGCGCAAGTGAAAGTCGGGTTGCACTTGCACTGACGTCAACGTTGCGCATCAAATGCATTGCCTATCATTTGCTGGGATCGGCAACTTCTTTCTGACACCTGCCACAGAAAGGGTGATTTACAGACACCCCTGGCTAGGTATCCTTCCAATAACAACGCTTTGGGTGGTGCTGGTGATTTGGCTGATGTTGTTGATTGTTGAAAGGTTTCGTGTCACACCTGCGGCGCATTCGTCATCCTTCGTCCACTTCGCCCAAATTCGTATGACCTCCATGGAACTGCTGCAGGCCGTGACAGACAGGTCAAAATATGTCAGAGTCAGCCAACATGGTTTATTTCATGTTTTTGCAACAACGCAATCACTTACTATGTACATCACATCTATATACTGTACATGTGAAGCTTTTAACGCTTCACATGTACCTCCTGTGAACAATCCTGGCCAGCCGGCCAGCCCAAGCCATATGGACGTGTACTCAGAGCAATTTGGTGATCGGTTTTCCTGAAACCAGTGACTCTCACTTTGGTGCCTTTCAATAAGTGTAGTTAGAGTTGAGGCTGTAAAGTCAATACTGTACACATCAAAATCAACTTTCCTGACGTTCCAAATTCTGACACTTACTTAAAAAAGAATCTACAAGACAGCTGACTCTTCCAACGCTTTTTGGCCAGTTCTTTGGTGCAACCTTCACGGCGTGTGTTCTCTACAGGAGGACGCTGGTTTGGGGGAACCAGAGTATGTGGTTCGTCAGGGACTACAGTTGCTCCTCGGACCAGCGTGAGTCGGACGTGAGTGTTTCAGCGTGTATTTTTCCAGAGGGATGGGAGGTTGAGGTAGCATTGCACGTTTGGGTAGCATGGTGCTGTATGCTTCTTGATATTGTGGGATGCTTGCGGTGTAATCTGGAATGTGGATATGGTTTCGGATATGGTGTGGATACTTGCGGAGGATATCCAAGCAACCATAGATGGATGTGCAGCCTTTGCACATATTATCTTGCTAACTGATGCTTTCTTGCTCGGCAGGCCTGGCCTGTGTTTCTGTTCCAGACCAACTTGCTGGGCATATCTGGGCATCTTACTTTTGAATACTTTTAATCTGTCAGTTTCTCGTCTTCGCGATGAATCACCCAACAATACGTGCGCTTGTCTGCTGACGGCACCGAACCCTGGCAGCTCATTCGGTTGCGTCACCCGAAGCTGGGAAGCCCCCTGTCCTTCCTCCGATTAGATCTCGCCGGGAGCAACTTCCGAGGAACCCACCTCTAACTGGACAAATACGAAAGCCCTTGCTTTCCACCAGAGGGTTTCTGTGGAATCTTCAAAGAGTCCTGGTCATTTGTGGGTGTCAACTACAGGGGTTTGGGGTCATTTTACTTCACCCGCCCACATGTCCCAAACCTTCGCTTCCATCACATCTCGCATCGATACCTCTGAGGGTCAGCTGGAAGCCGCGACACGGAAGGCGCGACCCGCTGATCTTTCGGCGGCGGAGTCACTGCTGATCAGTGGCCAGATGATTCCGGGCGGTCAAGAGAATCACCATGCGCATAGTGATGTTGATGTTCCCTCTGAAGAAGCGTACACAAGGTTGGAGAGTAGTTGGCACAGGACACTTGACTGCGACTTGGGGGGGTCTCATTTGTATCGACACTTCATCCTCCACATTTTCTTCACTCGAGGTAACCACAGGAATCCCTGATCTTCACTCGAGCAAAATGATCCAGAAACACATTCTGAAACTGCTGAAGATCCGCGGGTCTCCCCTTCCCGTCCTCGGTCGATCCGGCTTTTCAGTCATTTCCGGGCCCTCACAACCCTGCAATCGGAAAACGATGGGACAGCTGTGAAACCGTAAGTTGGGGTGGGAAGATGGAAGAAAGCAAGTTTGAACTGCATGTTGCTCAGCAAATCCGGCAAAGCAGACCCAGCAGGAAATCGCCGGAACTGGCGATGATTATAGGATCGGTCAGTGATGTCCAAAAAGGATGAGCACCCAGAGCACCCAGAACGCCAGCACCCAGAACATACCAACAGAGCACCCAAAGAGAGGAACATGGGTTCGATGGTTGTCACTTTGGTTGTCGAGCTTGTCGTGTCGATGTCTTGAACATTGACATTATAAAGATGGTGTTTTTTTGCTTTAGTCAAGTCTTTGTCGCTGGGTTCCTGATAAACATGTCCATCATCACCCCAGCGGCTGTGCATGTGAGGCTTCATGTCACACCCTTCCTGGGCAGCAAGGAGGAGAGCCTTGGCTTACTGTAAATGGAAGGAGACACGTGATTGCATGAAGGGCAATGGATTAATAAAAAGGAACGGTGACGATATCAAAAACCTGTTACTCACACACTTTATATGTTAAATTGTTCCTTTTACAGTATGTAGACGCAAATTCCACTCTGAGTTTCACACTTTAGCGACCAGTCTGACTGTTCACTGTTGCCGAACCGCATTTCACTGCAGTAGCTACTACTGCAGTCGAACACACAGGGGGACGATCGACTAAAGAATGTCAAAGTTGCAGGTGTTTTGTAGAAGCTTGTTACCTCGTTGTTTACGCCCTAGCCTATATCTATACACCTGTCTTCATATACGGCATTCCTGCAGGTGTTATCTATGCGCCAACATTAGATACTACACCTGTATCTACACATCTTCATGAACACCTGTATTTGCACGCGCTCATCATAGTTATGTAGTTGTAGTTGTAGGTTCTTTGTAGACGTTCTATTCACACCGAATACATATGTATTGTACCATAATGGTGATAGGAGGAACATTGATTGATGATTAATCGACATCAGAACGATGCTGGTGGTGTTTTGATTATATCTTCACGATGTTTTGACGATGCTGATGTTGATGGTTGTTCACTCAATCATGAAGAGGAGGGAAAGCAAGATGACGGCAGTTCTTTGTGAAGAACCCATAAGACCTCACAAGGTGAAGCTTGATCAAGCCCACAGAGGCCACATCGACCAACCAGCGCCCAACAAGGATGATGAGCAGCAATTTGCCAATCACCTTCACCTTTGGAGGTAAACCGCCTGGGAGCCCAGGATAACACGTGGGATTGGAGCGAGTAGGTATTTGTTTTGCCCATTGAGAGAGCTGCTCTGTGTTCCTGTCAACGAAACGAACATGGTGTGGTGAAGGGACTCGAAAGCGAGAAAGAGAAGGACCATTTGAGAAGAATTCGGGGAGGCAATCCCTTTTGAAACGGCCATCCCCCGATCTTAAAAACTTGAAACGATTTGCTGTTTGGATAGTAAGGACGCTATATACTGGGTGGAGGCCATCGCAACTAGGGTGGATGCCACTACTACTAGTAACAAGAAGCTACTAGTAGCGGCTATATTTGCTACTAGTAGTAAGGAGAATATGCAAAAGAAGTGCCAAAAAGAGGAAGGCTGGGACTGCTGTCAAGAGTTTAAGGAGTCGCTAGGCCGATGACAGGCGAAAGCCGAACTCTTGCCTAGAGCACAAAAAATATATATAGGCCCCTTCGCCATCCTCACCGAATCCAACCGATGCGGATCTTTGTTGAAACAATCACATCGCACATGGTGCCCTTCCTATGGTTATCCCACACCTCTGCACTGCCTTCCAACAGGACTCCGAAGAACGCATCCCCGGACGAGCAGCAGCGGACGCTGGGACGAGACGATGGAGACCGAAAAGTGTCGAAGCGTGCTGACTGGGAGTCTAGAGATAAGGCAAGTGCGTTCAATAGGAAGTTTTCTAACCTTTGTAATTACTTTTTTGAGTGTTCTTTTCGGACCTCCCTAGTTCAATATGCACCCATAGGCCCTCGGCATGCTGGCTGACATCTCAAGTGGGTCCTGATCGGGGGATCCAAAGACCGGGGTTGCCATGTTTCCCCTGGTCCGTTTCTGTGCCTTTCGCTGCACTCAAGGCTGTGCACCCCGTAGGACGTACGATGCTACTGACCAGTCCGTGGCCCCTCTTGCAGAAGCGGGTACAAGAAATGTTAAAACTATGAGAAAAACCAATTCCTAAGTAAGAGAGAGAGAGAGAGAAGATTCCCCAAGTGCATCTAATTAACACGCACAGACCATTTGCACGTTTGAAGCCGACCTCGCCCGACGTCACCTTCAAAATTTGACCTAACAAAAAAGACTGAAAATAAAGGACATCTTTTTTGGGAACACAGGGGTATCGCAAAATGTGCGCCCGAAGCTCGAAGGACAGAAAATGTCTTGGCTGGTTCTTTCTTGCAAACTACGGTTACAAAAATGCTGCAAATGGGTGTGCTCTTTTGGCGCTCCACTGCATCCAGAAGATGCAGGGCAAACTACACGGGCTAAAACAGCATCGTCAGCACCCTTTCTCTTTGAAGCAAGTGTTCTCCAGTTGTTTCTTTAAGCTGTGGTAAGAACACTCAAGAAACAACTGCACTTCCAGATCGCCCGAGCAAACATATGCCCTGAAAATTCTTTCTCGCATGAGGTTTCTGCAGTTTTGTTCTACGCATTCGTTTGCCTCGCTCTACCTTCGTGACACAATTTGTTTGTTCCTTCACGACCTCTTTGGCCGGGCAAAAGGTTTTTTGTGTTGACAACTCACTCCCATGTCATAGGGCTTTTTGTTGAAGGACCCGTGCCGTGCCAATTGATTACCTTTGGCATCGTTTGATGGTTAGCAGTTTTAGTCTGATTGTTCCCTTGCTGTATCAAGATAGAATCTCCAGTTCCATCAAATTCCCGCAAACAAGAACTTTCCTGGAACCTCAAGGGATCTACATATCACTCTCGACTGTAGGCAAAAAGTTGGAAAAATTGAAAGAGGCCGTCCTTCCCAGACCTACCGGAAAATCCGTTGCGGGGATGAGCAACACCGGCAAGACACGCACCATCTGAGGCTGGAGCCTGAGATCCCTGATGCCCCGGACTATGGGCAGTACCTGCGCGCGGAGGACGGATGCATCGTTTTTCGGTCACGACGTCGCCCCAAGGCCCTTTCACTCCCAAGAGATGGAGAGTGACATTGAAATTGCTTCTTGTGTTTGAATGGTGTCTCTAAAGGGAGCCGGCTGGCTTTGAGGACACGAGTCAGGCACGAGGTCAGCCGGCTGGTGGTCCCAGGTGATGGCATTTGTCACCTATGTTCGGTTACGGAATTGTCGGAGACCATTATTGCATATTATTGCACCAAAATTCAACTAAAGTCTAGATGTACCGTTCAAGAACATCCTATTGTTCGGGCAAACGTTGATTGGAAGACGAGGTGGAATACAACATGCAATGTGTTTCGTTATCAAGATATCGGATGCTTGGCAAGCTTCAATGGGAGGTTTCGTCCAGAGTTGGTTCTGTGGTTATGGAAAAAGCCTCAAGAGCGACCGACGAAAAACAGC